CCTGTACTTGGTCCTATGGTATTGAGAACTTATCACTGGAAAATGTAAATATGGTGTTCCAACATAGCACATCTGAAGGCTCATTTTATTGTTTTTATTTTTTGTTTGTTTGTTTTTTGTTTTTCCAGACAGGGTTTTTCTGTGGCTTTGGAGGCTGCCTGGAACTCACTCTGGAGACCAGACTGGTCTCAAACTCACAGAGATCCGCCTGCCTCTACCTCCCGAGTGTTGGGATTAAAGGCGTGTGCCACCAGCACCTGGTTTAAGGCTCATTTTACGTAAATAGGATCTACATGTCATTCATTTAATCCATCCATTGAGAACCATAGCATAAAGTCTATTTCACTAAAGTCATTGTCAAAAAATTATAGCGACTATCTTTAAATTCTTATTTATGAATATTATATCAAATAAATTTAAAAGTTACACACAATAAAAACATAGCTAAAGATAGATAAGGACAATGTATTACCCTGGAGGCAAAGGCTGTGGTCTCTCCCATGTGGTAGTTCGAGTATTATGATCCACATAATAGGTTCTACCATGAGGATCTTTTCTCTGTTCCCATCTATAATAAAAGTATAAAAATAGAAGTAAAAAGCAAAATCTGAAAATGTTCTAGAATCAAGAACATTACAAACATGCTCTATTTCACAAAGCCCACACATTCATAACATATAAACACATACACGTACACACACTTTATTTGTTTTTGTTTTTTTCCCAAGAGGTTTCTCTGGGTAGCCCTGTCTGACCTTGAACTCAGAGATCTGACTGCCTCTGGCTTCTAAGTGCTGGGATTAAAGACATGAACCACCCACTACTGAGCTATAAAGGTATTTTAATCTCTTAATTATTGTTTCTTTGTAACAACTGGAAACTAAATAACTGTAGTAAAGAAATAGAGCATAGAATACTTAAAAATTTTAAATTTACCAATTTACACTCTTCCATTTTAGCAGAAAAGAAAAATAAGAAAAAAAGAATCTCAGCACTAAATGCCAATGAGTAATATCCATTTTGTCTTTGGTTTTAAAATTGTACATCTAAAAGGTTTTTAGCAGAAGCACCTTAAACACGTGGTGGTACTGTCCCTGACAACTCTGCTATCTCTGTGCACACAGGGGACTGTGCACACAGGTTACTGTACACATCTATTCCACTCCTTATTTTGGTAGTCCTTTGAATGAACATTACAAACTTATCTTTTCCTGAAATCTTCTCAATCTATTTTCCACACTTTGATTTTTCTTCTCTTGGTTTCTCATTTCTTCTTCTCTGCTATTTTCTCAATATTATAGACAGGAGGGGGAAAAACTTTAAAATAAAAACATCATGCTAACGGCTAGTTTTCATGGTGCTGGAAACTGTCATGCAGGTTGCAGAAGGAGAAAAGACATTAACAGTCGTACCCAGCACTGAACCCTTCATGCTAATACTGACCTGCCAGATAAAATGGGCCCACTAGTCAGACAGTGGTTAGACCATTTATGAAGTAAATCAGCTATGCTCTTGATTGGATTTGAGGCTTGTTCTATTGAAGGGAACTCATGTCTGGTATTGTAAGCTGGTCAAAACCAGTGGGTAGGACATTCATAGGCCCTAGGGAAGAACCCACTGATGCTGTTTGTGATAGTATCGTGTTGTCTGTCTACTAAATACTTATATTTACATAAATAAACTTGTACTATTCTAAACTGTGGTCAGAGAAGCTTCTTAATGTAGAGGGTAGTAGTTACACAAAGCCTTATAACAATTCAAAGTGCTAAGAAGTGCTAAGTGACTTCTCAGCTGCAGAAGGACATCTCTATCAAATCCCCCTGCCCCGGTCTTGTTAAGGCTCAGGGAACATTATGGAAGAGGGCACATAGAGGGATGAGTGCTGTGAAATACTATCTTCTGGACATGTCAGGGCTGATGCATACATAAACTCAGTGGCAAAATTACCTGTTTAATATTTGCTTAAGAGCAAGTCAGTGAAAATTTTAACGTGGAACAGGGAGGGGTTTCCAAGGTACCATTCCCAGCACTTATGGTAAATTTGTTTCCAACTTCTGTCTATTCTGTCAAGTCTGTTGACATTCTCATTATTATAAAACCTGATTTGTTTTGCCCTTTAACAAAATCTCTGGGGAGTGGAGAGATGGCTCAGCAGTTAAAGGCACTGGTTCAGGACTGGCTTTTGATATCAGCGCCCACAAGCTGACTCAGGAGCATTTGTTAACTCCAGTTTCAGGAGCTATGGCACTCCCTTCTGGGGAGTATCATATTTGTGTAAATTGAATGCTTAAAGAATTTAAGGCCCCCAGAAAAACAGTAGAAGCTTTAGTTGATAAAGGTAAAGAAACTTGCCAGCTAATGGAACAAAAAGTTAATTATGTAACATACAAGCCAAGTTGAAACATTAGATGATCAGTTACAAAGTTTCAGAAAAACCTTAAGAAAAAAGAGTTGCCCAAACTCTTGATAGGAAGTGAAAAGAGGCCTATTTTAAATTAGTCACTGTAAACATTTTATTCTATTGTGTGTCCTCCTGTCACTACCAAAAGAAATCTCAAGTACATCCAGAGATTTTTTTTTAAGATTTATTTTTGCTGTATGTACATGAGTGTTTTGCTTGCATATATACAATACATGCATGCAATACTTAAATTCTTTAAGCATTCATTTTACACAATACCTGGCTATGCATGTGACACCTTTTCTTACCCTCTGACAATATTAAAATAGCCTCTTTTCTTCAAGCACTTTCTTTTTTAATTAACTTTTAAAGTTTATTATATCAACAGCGCGCGTGCGTGTGTGCGTGTGTGCGTGCGTGTGTGTAAGCCACTAGGTGCATATGGAAGTCAGAACAGAACTTGTGGGGGTTACCTCTTTCCATGTGGGTCCCAGGGATTGCATGTTGCCAGGTTTGGTGGCAGGTATCTTCACCCACAGAGCCATCTGTTGAGCCCTCAAGTAGCATTTTCTACATTGACTGTTTTGTCCCCATTTTACATTACAAGGTTTCCCTCAGATATTTAATGAGTAAGGTTCTAAAACAGGGCTTATGGTTACAGTATTAATTGAAAGTGATATGATATACCTCATTGTAGCTTTGTTAGAAAACAACAGGTATTTACAGTCTTTGTGGTAGACAGGGGCGGGGTATCTTGACTAGAAGTCACTTCAAATTTCCTGGGTAGCAAGGTAAAATTCTAGTTCTGAGTATGCTAGGAATTTTCTGAGAAAGACAGGAAGCATGTTTGAAACTAGGTAAGTTTCTTCATTCATTAGTCTCATAAAGTTCTCATTCACCTGACTTTTTCAATGCACCTGGTATTGCCAGAAAAGAAGTCCCTCCACAGAGCAGCAGACCTAGCTCCAGGGAGGAAGACTAGAGATTTTCTTCTTTAACTTTTCTTTCTCTTTTCATTCTTTAGTATAGGGATTTAATCTAGGGCCTAGCAACACAAGTGCTCTGTCATTGAACTATGTATATCTCCAACCCCTTTAAAATTTTATATTTTGAGACAGAATCTATGTTGCCCATGTACATCATAACTTCCAATCTCCCTGCCTTAGCCTTCCAAGAAGATGGGATTAGCAAGCTTGTGCCAGAAAACAAAACCGTAAACTGACGTGACTCAGTCTTACTCTTTATAATGTCATCTACAGCACAATATGTCATGGTGACACTATCTGCTGAGCCTTCTATAAGAGCCTGTGTGCACATGGATCTTACTCACCAGCAGCCCTGAGTTCAGTAGTGTTGGGGTGCTAAGTCAAGCACATTTATGAGTCAGCCCCCACTGGGGCTTCAATGTAAGTTCAGAAGGACTCTAAGGAGAAGGACGCTGATAGGCCATTTTCCGATCTCTGATCATCAGACATCTCAAGATAGCATGTTTGTAGTTTTAAACTGCCAAATTTTAAAGTACTTATGATTTATAGCTAGCTTGAGAACACCACTTTAAGAGCTTCTGTAAAATACATTTTACTCTCCATTGCCTTAACTTTGGATCATTTTATGTAGATAAGTGGTTGACTTATGCAATGATCTGGGAAGTTTGGCAAGCATGCTAGTATTTGTATTACTTCTCCAGAGATATTAAAACTAAGTTCTGGATCTTTTCTTGCCCTCAAATAATACTATATTTAAGCACCATGGTAAGGATGTATTTGAAGAGATGACTGGTAGTAGTAGTAAGAATAATAATGTGGAGCAAAAGGGAACCCTCCAGGAAATGAAAGAGTTTATTGAGTCTGCTCAGCCCCACCCTACCATTCTTTTTTAAAAAGGCTTTACTATGATTTATGTAAATGTATGTGTTTGTGTCTGTGTGCATATATGTACACCTGTGTGGAGGTACCCAAAGGGACCAGAACAATATGTTAATAACCTGAAGATGGAGTTAGAGGTGGTTGTTAGTAGCCTGATGTGGGCACTGAAAACTGAACTTGGGTCCTCTGGAAGAACACAAGTGCTCATAATCACTGAACCATATCTCCCCCCCCCCAAAAAAAAAACTTTTGATTTACTTTGTACATTTATTTGTGTATGTGGTTATACATGCATGTATTCATGCCTTTACCCACCATGCCATCTTGCCCACCTAGCATAGGATAAATGAGTATAACTCTATTCAACTAACACTGTGAGTCAGGTAGACAAAGCTAAAGCATCCTTCATTACCTTACCCTACCCTAAGTACCTTCTTTATCACGGCTGAACACCCTCTCTGGTCACCAGCTGCAGAGGTCACTGTGAGCAACTCTCAGGTCCCACTGGTAGAATCTTACCTCTAAAATGGCAGCTCAGCAAGTTGGTTCCCCTGGGACCCGCTGACAGAGAGGGAAAAAGATAACACTAGGACTTAGGATGCCCTGGGCAGTTAGTAAAATTGGCCAGGCTCCCCTATGGGTCAGGAGCTCTCTGACCTCAGAATGTCATCTGAAAAGGGCAAAGAAGGGAACTGATATTCAATTTACCCACAATATGCAGTGTTCTACCCCAGGCAAAACGGTTGAAGCAGTGTAGGTATCTTATCTCTTTTTATGTCAGTACCTAAATAATAGTCTTAATTATGCCCACTGGCCCACAAATCTGAAACTATTTACTATTTAGCATTGTACCTGTTTGCCCTGATGCATAGAATATAAAAAATTATAGAGAAATCATTCAAAGGTAGTTCTTCTTGTCTTGTGTGGCAAACAAAATAGTTTAAAGAAGATGGATTCCAATGAGAATACAGTGATAGATTTTTAGACCTCCTGGCACTTCTCTCTCTCTCTCTCTCTCTCTCTCTCTCTCTCTCTCTCTCTCTTTCTCTCTCTCTCTCCCCTAACACAGGCCATGCACCTCTGCTGCTTTCCCTCTCCGGAGAGGCACGGGCCACATTACTGATGTACTACTATATCCTTAGCTTGGGAGGCTGAGGGAAGAGGGCAACACAATGAGTAAAACTACCAAAGATGGGAGACAAATGGCAAAGATTTCTGAACGAGGGGTAGAGAACAATGTCTGCAAGAAACATGAGAAGACTGTGCAAAAGGCACAAACACATAAAGGTACAAAAGCTAAAATGATAAGATCTGCTAGGGAAGCACACGAAGATCCCAGTCTGAAACCACAATTACACAATGTTAAAACCAAATGAACCAGTAAACAGCACTTAGAAAAAAGTTTCAAAAATAGGAAAGAAGTCTGAACACAGTACCGTGATGAGCAATCAAATGAATAAGGAAAACCAGAGTCATCTAGGGTAGTTTCAAAGGCTACGAGTCAACATTCTAATTACTGAAGGCTGTGTTGAACATCGATGTGGTGATATGAGTGAAAATGTCCCCTGTCGGCTCAAATATTTAAATTGTGGTTTCCAGTGGACGGTTTAGGAAGGATTAGAAGGTACAGCCTTGTTAGAAGAGGTCACTGGGGATGGGCTTTAAGGTTTCATAGGTTCATACCAAGCTCAGGTTCACTCTTTTTCTGCTCATGGATCAGATGTGAACTCTCAACAACTGCTCCAGGGCAATACATGCCTACTGCCAGGCTCCCCACCATGATAGACATAGACTAATCTGAAACTGTAAGGAAGCCCCCAGTTAAATGCTTTCTTTATAAGTTGCCTTGGTCATGGTGTCTTTTCATAGCAATAGAAAAGGAACTAAGTGTCATATTTTTATCACAGCACTTTCAAACTATTCTGGGCATACATGGTATTAAGTCAAGTCTAAACCTGTGTCTTAAAGGTAGGAAAATGAATGAATAATTAACATGAGTATCATCAGTACCAAAAGATAAAATAAGTAAGGAGGAAGCAATGTTTAAATGAGTATGGTGAATCATTCTTTAAAGAAAACCATTGGGAGTTAAATAATCATACTTAAAGGAAATTGGGAAATTGAAAGGACATTAGGAAAATCTAAGATTAGGAAAATCCAGGCTTATAATCGAGCCCTTTGGAGACTGGCACCAGTATTCACTAGTATTGAAAATGGTGGCTAGCTGTTATCAAGAATGCAAGGTCACACAGAGAGCTACAGAACTGGGGTTATGACAAGTGTGTCGTGTTCAAGTGACAATGAAATCTAAAGGTCTTGCAGATTCACATAGGTTTGTATGTCATTTCATACAAAACCTATTTTGACAAGATAAGTGTTTAACTCCAAAAAATCATTCCACTGGAGTGAATAAATAGTATGAATGCTCCAATTTATAGTTAATTTTTAAAAAGATTTATTTTATCATTTTTAATTATATGTGTGTCAGTGTGTGGATGTGGGGCATGTATGCACATGTGTGTAGGCACCCACAGAGGTCAGAGGTGTAGTGTCCTGGAGCTGAATTGTGAACATCCTGACATGGATATTGGGAACTGAACTTGAGCTCTCTGCAGGAACAGTATGTACTTTTAACTGTTGAGCCATCTCTTCAGCCCTAGAGGTGGTTTTGTTGTTTTGTTTTACAAAAGGAACATTTCATACACATATTCAATAGTCATACATCATAAAATTTCTACTTAAATAGAAAACAAGTATTAAAAGCATTTTCTTGACATACCCTGAGGGCAAAGATTCTGTGTTGGCATTTCTAGACCGTGGCCGCAGAGGTTCTGAAAACCCTTCTGGCTGCCTTACTTTGTCAAAACCAGAATTGTTTCTGGAATCAGAGTCAGGGTCTATGAGGCTCTGAGCTTCTGGTCCCACTTCGGCACTGGTAGAAGGAATACATTCACTGTGTTCTGAGGATGCCTGGGGTTCTTGGACAGGAGGCTCTTGGGTGGTGGTGCTAGTGCAATTGGAAGTAGAGGTGGTTTCTTCAGATGGTAGTGGAGTACCCATGGTGGAAGAATTATCAGCTAGGACAGATGAAGATGATTCTCCATTAACTACAAGGGAAAAATAGCAAAATGACCTATGACCTAATTACCTAGGCAATTTATTACATTTTGTCAATGCCTACTCAAACTGAACAATGTACCAGATACCGAAGAACATAAAATAATAAAAGATGTTTTTGGAATCAATTTTTAGTAATAAAGTGAGTAAATAATAAAAATTATAGAAATTTTAAGAATAAGTTGGTAAATGATAAAATTTTAAGTATATATATTAATAACTTTAACTTCAGGCAACACACAGCAACATTAAGAAAATAAATGTTTTCCCTCCAAATTATCAACTTTATACCTCCTATCATATATGTAAATGGTAGTTAGTCTCAAAACAAAACTAAACAAAAAACTTTCATCCAATAAGAAATACATGATTGAATTAATTCTTTTTTTTTTTTAGATTTTATTTATTATACATACAACATTCTGCTTCCATGTATATCTGCACACCAGAAGAGGGCACCAGATCTCATAACAGATGGTTGTGAGCCACCATGTAGTTGCTGGGAATTGAACTCAACACCTCTGGAAGAGCATTCGGTGCTCTTAACCTCTGAGCCATCTCTCCAGCCCCTTGAATTAATTCTTAAGATAGTATCATAAAGAAGTATAAAACAACAATCCACACTTTTATTTTTAACTTTTTTGTTCTTTGTTTTTTTGTTTTTCGAGACAGAGTTTCTCTGTGGCTTTGGAGGCTGTCCTGGAACTAGCTCTTGTAGACCAGGCTGGTCTCGAATTCAGAGATCTGCCTGCCTCTGCCTCCCAAGTGCTGGGATTAAATATAGCCATGTCTCTCTGAGTTGTCTAGGTAGATCTTGAACTTGAAATTTTCCTGCCTCAACCACCTGAGTAGCTAGGATTACAGGCACAACATCCAGCCCAGCTTCCATTCGACACTTATATAAGAAATAAGCCACTGCTGAGACTTACTCAGCCTTTTTTTTTTTTTAATTTTATTTCAAGTGTAACTGATCCATTTAAACTATATGTACACATAAAATTGAGTCAAACCTGCAAGGAGGAAAATTCAAGATGATGGATTAGAGTCTATAAGCATTTGCTTGCCTCTTTTTGATGGTGAATCAACACACTGGAAACACTGAAGGACAACAAAGGACAGACAGAGACATATAAAATGGAATAGAGAATGAGGAAAGTGTACTTAGTACCAAGTGTGGCAAAGACACACAGCTGTGTGTACACAGTTGTGGGATCTGCAAGGCAGATGGATGCAGAAAAGTTCTCTGTACTTCCTACCATACATCTGTCATGTTACAGAAGTGAACTTATATTGACAAGGTAGCATGTGAGCTTGCTACTTGATGAAACAAGTCTCTGCATTTTCCTGTCTCCTAGAAACTTGGAGGAAATATTGCAGTACTGCTTCAATGAATGTCTATTTTCAGACATTCTAGCCCCACTGGAATGTCCCTGAAACATCCATATGGTGGAAATTGATCAAGACAAGGTAAATTTTATTTTCTCTGACACTGGTGGATTAGTGACAGACAAGCTTAAGGACTTTGGGAGAACAGGCAATTATCCAAGATTATACAGGGAGCAAGGACACGAGTGTGGTTTACAGGGTTTTCTGAATCACCAGAGGTGTACTGCATGGGACCTATACCCACCACCCCCAAATGGTTGCCCTGTCCTCCAAGTGAATTCACAAATGGCCCTGGAAACCCAAATGAACTGCACTGTCTAGCATCAGCCAAGTCCCAGGAATGCACTGAGCAAATTTCTATTCTCCACTGTGAATCCCACTCAGTGGGTTTTGCATCTGCCATTCCCATCTACTGGCTAGCAGGGCAGCAGAGGCCAAGATTAGTGGCTTCAGTCTGAAAATACTACACTGGCTACCTGTGGAGGTACACACAAGGGGGGCGCCACACAGAAGGTTGGAGTGAATGACATTCAGCTTTTGCTTTCTACAAGGGGCACATATATTTTTAGGAGAAATTTACAGAGAACTGTCTGGAAATCTGTATTTTAAATATATACTTGATGACTTTATAATCAGGAAGATTAAAAAAACATGATAATGTTTGTAAAGAAAAACAAAATTATCTGAATAAAATCAGAACCATACAGAACTTTATCGAAATGAGTCTGACATGTATTAAGCAAATGAATGACACTTTAAATGACCAATCAGAGTTGAAATGGAAAGGCAATGGGTAGACAGGGTTTGAAAAATTCTTTTAAGATTTATAGATAATTATTGCATTATTTAAATTGTTATATTCTATTAGGAATAAAGAAGAACTTATCAACCCATATCATCTTTGTCATTGTTTGTTTCCACTGAGTAGTACTCCATTATGTAAATGTACCACATTTTCTTTATACATCCTTCAGTTGAGGAGCATCTAGGTTGCTTACAGGTTCTGGCTATTACAAATAATGCTGCAATGAACATAGTTAATCAGATATCCTTGTGTGTGAATGTGCATCCTTTGGGTATATGCCTAAGAGTGAAATTGCTAGATCTTATGGTAGACTGATTGCCATTTTCCTGAGAAACCACAATACTAATTTCCAAAGTGGCTGTACAAATTTGCATTCCCACCAGCAATAGAAGCTTGAAATTCACAGGTAAATGGATAGAACTAGAAGAAACCATCCTGAGTGAGGGAGCCCAGACACATAAAAACATTTTTATGTACTCACTTATAAGTGGATATTAGACACAGAGCAAAAATATAACCAGCCTACAAACCATAACCCCAGAGAAGCTAGGAAACAAAGAAGACATGGACTCCCAGAGAAGGAGAAAGGGACAAGATCTCCTGAGCAAACTGGGAGCACAGGCAGGGGTGGGGGCGGGGTGGGGGGGTAGGAGAAAGAGGAGAGGAGATGGGGGAGGAGAACATGAGGGATCAGGAAGGTCTGCGTTGGGGGAAGAATAGAGAAGGAGAGCAAGGAAAGAGATTCCTTAACAGAGGGAGCCATTATGGGCTTAATGTGAAATCTGGCACTAGGGAAATCTCCAGAGCTCTACAAGGATGACCCCAACTAAGAATCTAAGCAACAGTAGAGAGACTACCTTAAATGCCCTTTCCCCATAATGAGACTGATGACTACCTTAAATGCCATCCTAGAGCCTCCATCCAGTAGCTTATGGAAGCAAAAGCAGAGATTCACAGCTATAGCACTGAGCCGAACTCCTGGGATCCAGTTGTAGAGAGGGAGGAGTGATGAGCAAAGGGGTCAAGACATGCTAAGGAAACCAACAGAAACAGCTGACCTGAGCAAGTAGGAGCTCATGGATCCCAGTCTGACAGTTGGGGAACCAGCATAAGACTGAACCAGGGTCCCTGAACATGGGTGTCAGTTGGGGGACCTGGGCAATCTGTGGGGCCTCTGGCAGTAAAACCAGTATTTATCCCTAGTGCAGGAATGGACTTTTAGAGTCCATTATCTATGGAGGGATACTCTCTCAGATACATGGGGGAGGGCCTAGGTTCTGACCCAAATGATGTGTCGGACTTTGATAATCCCCCATGGGAGGCCTCACCCTCTTTGAGGAGTGGATGGGGGTTGGGATGGGGAGCTAGCGGGGGAAATGGGAGGATGAAAGGAATAGGGAACTGGGACTGGTAGGTAAAATAAGATTGTTTTTAAGTTAAAGTTACTTAAAAAATCCCCAAAACCACAGGCTGACACAATACATAACCAAAGATTATTCAATGTTAGTAAATTATGTTAGAAAATGTATCATAGTAACTGAGCAAAGGATAAAAGAAATATTATTTTCAATACTAGCTAAAAAAGTATTCAACAAAATACTAATGAACAAAGTAAGGATGATCATAATCAGTATTCCAGTTCAATATTGCTGATTATATTTGACAATGTATTAAGACCGGAAAAATCAGAAACACCGAAAAGGGTAAAACTCACATATAAAGGAGATTATTTAGAACATACATAATAAATAATTGGAAATTAGAGCTAATAAATACAAATACAACATATTGGCAGAATGAAGAGCCTTAAGTTCAGCATCAAGGTCATATTCAAGGTCTGTTAGAAAGAAAACAAGACAAAACAAAAATTACTGAGCTGGTGTTTGACGTTTTTGTTGTTGGTTTGCTTTTTTTTTTACTCTAGGCAGGCCTGGAAACTGTAATCCTGCTGAGCACTTGGGAATAATGGCATACACCATCATGACAAAGACTAAGAGCCATCTATAAAAATAAAAAGACTAAGAATAGATAAAAAATACCTTTGGGTGAGAAGGTTGGAAAATACTACTCTGCTTAAATAGAAATGCTGGTAAGGATGAAGAACAACAGGAATTCTCATTCTTTGTTGAAGACGTACAGCAATGACTGGGAAGTTTTCTATCAAACTATCACACATTCTACTGATCTCATTTTTCAACCAAAATGAATTCCAGGCGAATGACCACACTAAAAACCTGTATACAAATGTGGACGGAATCTACCTTCCTAGTTGCTTATAACTCAAGAGGCCAGGCTGCTTCTACAGGTGACTGGATAAAAGAAATGGTGATACCACAATAAAGAAAAATAATAAAATCCATAGACACAGAAGAACCTGAGGTATACACATTCCTAAGTGAAAATAGTCAATATGGGATAGTTGCATACTCCACAATTCTAGCCATAAGATCTTCTGGAAATGACAGAACTTTGGAGACAACACAAAGATCAGTGGTTCTTGGGGAAGGAGAAGAGTGAATAAAGTGCAGAAGAACTTTAGAGTAGTCAAACTTTGCAGCACTGCAATGGCAATATGCAGTTCTTAACACCCACCTAATAGTACATGTCAAGAAATGAAACTTAAATTATACATTTCCATCCAGTGTTTCCATCTGATACTTCTTACAAAAGTGATATTGTTCCATACTTTCTGATTATACATGTTTCTAACTCATGGTCCCTCTTCTTCATTACTAAGTTACAATGGGTTTTGCAAAAAAAAAAAAATACATATTTTGGTTACTAACAATCTATTCATAACAGTTTGCTGGTTATATCAAATGTACCATATGTAAGATGTCACCCAGAAACTTTAAATACAATAGGAAAGGCATATGAGATCTTCATCAGTGTCTAGCTAAGTTGTTCAGATCCTAAAGCTCTGAACTCAAGAAATCCTCCTATGTTGTCTTCATCCAAGTAGATAGGTCTCTAGGCATATGATACCTGCCCTCAATCTGCCTTAAC